CCCCAAAACCCCAAAACCCCAAAACCCCAAAACCCCGAGTCGACACTTAAATATTATATATAACCTAGAAGACATTATGAATAACTTAAAAATAACTATTCCGAAGCTAGGATTCAGAGAATCAGCCATTGAAGTAACTGAGTCATTAGTTACGACGGAAAGCACTCTTTGGACCATGAGGGAGTTCCAAAAGCTGTAAGAAAAAATCAACATATCTCTCAACAACGAAGTTAACAACCTCAGTTTTGGTGATAAGCGAAGTGTGAAAAATAGTCTATTATGAAGTTGGGTTTTAGATTCAAATATTTCAGGACTTTACATTGTTACCCATACCCAAACTCTTAACTATAAATCCTGCCGCTAGTCCTCAATAATCCCCAATCAGTTCACATTTTCCCCAAATTAGCCTAATTTTAGAAACTTTTAGGAACAAATTATAAGAATTTAAGCTGATTTTTAAGGTGAAGTGGAGACTGACCGGGGCTTAACATACCATCTGGGAGTAGAGAATTGGGAAATTTGGAACTATTAAAACCCCCACTTTGTATAAAATTCGTAATTCCGGACCAAGAGGCTGACTATTGATGGCTTAAAAGTCTGAAATTGAATAATATCTAACATCTTCATCCCATCTGCTAATTATTTTAACTGCTGGCCAAATAGTACACTATAGAAGAAGACTTTTCAGATATGAAATTGTAGAGTTTGGTATATATCCTAAAAGAACTCCAGTCCCATTGATTCCTCGAGTTTACAGACCATAAGAATGAGGAGTCATTCGTCACTGCTTTAAGAATACATGAGTTGTTTAGAGTAAAACGAGTATATAAACATCTTTTAATTTTTAATATTCTTATCATAAAAATATCTCAAAGTCAAATCTTCGAGAATAATCTAGAGCCCACTCACCAGAGAAACAGCAATGATTTGCCATTAGAATTGTGGTAAAGGGAATACTGTCAAATTCTAACTTATTTCTCTAAACTAGTCCTTACTTGTTGTATAAGACCTCTCTGACGTCAGACAGCTCCTGAAAGCCCATATTGATCAAAAATATACCATACTAACCCATCTATTGCTGATCAGCATTGGCTTACACAAGCCTCTTATTTCTAACTGAATCAAACCTAACATCTTGAGTTTTACACTTCCTAGGATTCTCACTAAGAATCCATTTTAGTTCTAGAAACCCCCAATCCCCATAATTTTCACTCTAAACCCTCCAAAATCCTCCGAAACCCCTCAATCTCCCCTTCAACCCCTAAAATCCCGCTTAAACCCCATTAAAAATCCAAAATTTCCGTTCAAATTTTCAAAATCTCTAAAGTTTTTACTAAATCCCTAAAGCATCAATATTCTAATAAATTTTGTAGAATTCAACCGAGCGCCCAGTGCCGGGGTTTTGGGGTTTTGGGGTTTTGGGGTTTTGGGGTTTTGGGGTTTTGGGG